CTTTCCCTCATGACAAGTGTAGGATCTGATCCATTGTGTATAATACACTGGCTTTAATATTAGCAGCCTGTTTTTCATAAAACCTATTCATGGGCAGATCAGCCGAAGTCAGTGCAAGTCTGTTCACTAACCTGAATGTGAGTTAGTTCAAGCCCTCAGCACAGAAGCTACCTTAAATAATTTTAATGTAATTTCTCTAAATTAAGATAACTGAAATTATCATGCATTTCAAAAAAGATGTGTTGATCATTTAAATGTACTCTGTTTTTTAAAAAAAAAATCAACAGCTAATGTCACACTGGTCCTGAACATGACAGGGACAAAAGTCAAATATACCATTTCTAGCTAGTCTAGAAAATCTTTATTTACACTAGGCATTCGTCAGTGTACAATATGAAGAAGATAAAATCTTGAACTGGAGCTAAAATCAAACATGCTGCCTAAGAAAAGATACCTTAAAATTATATAATTAGATGGCTTAGGAACATTAATGGAATCTTTCCTCTCCAGCTAAGATAGCAGTTTGCTTTTTAGAGATTCCCATGACTGAGTCTTTACTAACCAAGAGCTATTCAGTAGCCCATATGAAATGAGTTGGTGGTATCATAACAATTATCAGTTGGGTATCCATATCATCAAAAATGTCCCCAAAGAACTCTCAATGAATACTTTTGCTACTAATACTGGATGCAATACTAAAAAGAATAGAAGTTTCTGCCTTTTCCCTGAGCCAACGTGGTTCCTCCATGGAAAAGAGAGGAAAGCTTACATCTTTATCCATGTGTCACTTTGACACAATTGTGCGCACATATCAGTTACAAGGTCAGCTGAAAAAGAACAAATATTCTCTACAATTGTTATGCGAATAACCCAGTCTCCTGGACTGTCAATCTAACAATGTTCACGATCACAACATTCACTTACATTTAAAGTTTTCCCTTACATATATGGCAAAGTTCTGGCATGTTCTGCCATGATTTATGGTTGCAGAGAGGTCAGTATTTGCTACAAATGGTTCTCCTGTCCCCCAGTTTATATTTTTGGAAGTTTGTTTAGACCAAAATTTTTGCTTACATTTCCTTGAGGATACTGCTGATACCTGAAGCAGCATTCTGATGCACAGTATTAGAGTAGCGGTTCTGAACCTTTTTATACCAGGACCCATTTGTAAACATCAATGGCCCCGACCCCTGCCTGATTGACTTCCTCCCACTCCCCCCAACCCTAAGCAGCCCTTTGCAGGCTGGAACTCCAGCAGCCTGAAAGGGGAAACCCACAGTTTCCTACATTTTTCTCCTTTAAAGGAGAATCCATTTTTTAAGTTTGCTGATCCATTTTTGGATCATGTACTCTTGTGACCCATTTTTGGGTCATGACCCACAAATTGAGAAATGCTGCATTAGAGGACACTCCATGAGTAAGCACAACTCCTGCCAAGTCAGTTTTACAGGATCAGAATCAGTGACTTTCAATCAAGGTGCTGTGGCACCCTGGGGTACCACCAGATCCTCTGAAGGATGCTTGTGACAGGATCCAGCCCTACACACTGCAGCTCCAGCATCCATGTGGCTGGTCTGTGGGCGAGTCAGCTGGCACCACGTGGCCGGAAGGAGCTCTGCCGGTTGGTCTGGCACCTGAAGGCTCCGGGCTTAAAGGAAGCCCCACAGTGGAGCCAGGGCATGTGGGAGTGCTGGCAGCAGAGTTGGATGCTCTCTCTACAGCCGGATGCGACCCAGAGTATCTTTCTAGGGCCAGCATGCCTGGAGGGGCAGTGTGTTGAGGCACACCTGGGGAGGACCCAGATACATGCTATATAACCATCAGGAAGCTAGTTGTTTTCCCAGGGCTAAGTTCCCTGTAAGATCCCTGGAAGCCCTGATTGCCCATGGGGCACCGGGGATCCAAACAAGTGCCAACTTGACTGCCACACCTGGTGGCCTGAGTGGCCCAGACCGAACACCACTCTCCAACACCCATGATTATCCCTGTAGAAATATGCAGGTCAACTGGGGTCGGGAGAGGGTGGCGCAGTGGGCACTACGGGAGCTTGCCAAGGGGAGAACCCAGCACGGAGCCCCCTAGAACCGCACATCCCAGCCAAGTGTCTATGGACCCAGAGCACCCTGGTGGGGGACTGGCAGAACTGCGAGCATTGTGCAGGCTCAGTGGGGCATGTCCTGCAGCATTACTGTACTTGGCTGGACAGAACCCAGCCCAGAAAGGGGTATTGCTAACTTAAAGAGTCTGTGGGAGAAGGGTGCACCAGACACTGACACCCCCCACATGCTGAAGGAAAACACTGGGTGCAGGGGCATTGTTGCCCCGCCCACTGCACTGAGGTATTTTAGTTGAATTGTCATTATGTTGTAATTTTTCCAAGCATACAGGACCAGAGCCAGAACCCGTGCAGCTTTTATGATCACCTCACCTTAACACAGGAGGAGAGGGCCCCATCACTGTATCTGAGCATCATCCAGGCTGATCCTAAACAGCCAAGTGGAAATGCGTGGGGAGTAGAAGAGAAGCCCCACAGAAGGCGTGCCCTGGGTCCTACAGGAGCCACTGAGTACTGATGGCTAGAAAATGGTATTTAGAGGTTTGCTTTTCAGAACTGGCTTGTAGGTAAAGTAGATATGCATTACAACAATGGTCCAGGGCAATGGCAAGAGTTAACTGATTTTTAAAAAGCCTGCTTGTTACAAGTTTCCTTAAGGCCCACTGTATCTAACAGACAAGCAGCAAGCAGACACACAGGCTGGGAAATTGAAGACATGTACCACACTGTTCCAGAACATAAGGTGGCACCAGGTTATAGTGCCCAATTGCAGAGCCCTTGGGATTTCCTGTTTTGAGGAACAGACCAAATTAGGAGAGACCGTAAAGCCCAAATTAGGATGTATGTATGTGATGGGCTTGTGAAACAAAGAAATATGCTGACAGGACAAAACGTGGACAGTATGACAACCACAGGGAGACCAATCAGTGATGCCCAGAGATGAAGAGTGATCAGAAGAGACAAAGAATACAGAAGGAAGAATTTCGGAGCACCAAAGTGTCCCCAAGACAGGAACCCGAGGCCAGTATGGACAGAGGTCACACCACCAGCACATCTCACCCACCCCACTGGGTGCGGGGCGGGGGAAGGGGAGAAAGGACCTTGGCCTCCAACCTCAAGGCTGCTGACATATGACATTAAAGAGAGAACTGCAGAGTGAAGCTCATGTACTGGCCAGATGTACCTTAACTCTGTGAACCCTGGGTCTGGTAGATAAGAATAATGCAAACAATTCCATACCTGCTATCATGGTGTATCAATAACATTTGCCTATTATCGAAGGAAGAGGTCGTGGTTGGTCTGAGGGTTTTGGGTCCACCCAGAACAAGGTCTCTGGGTCTTAAATCCAGTGCCAACAAGCACCACTTCCAGAGGTAAAACCCAGTAAAACAACAAGTTGTGGTGGGTGAATAGACCCAGGTTCTAAGTGGCCCAGGAGATGGGGTACGCCTACTGGCTGGTACTGTGGTTGTGAGCCTGTCACACTGCTGCATGGTGTCAGGAGATTAGCAGATAAGTAGATAAACTAGGGGTGTACCGATAGAGATTTTGGTGGCTGATACTGATAGCCAATTTTTAAGGAGGCATATTGGCCAATACTGATTCGATTTCCGATACAGCTAAATCCAGCTGGTAACTCTGTTGTGGTGGAAGGGGTGGGGGGAGGGAAAAGGGTGCGAGGGGGAAGATCAACGCCTCCCACAGTGAGGGAGGGAGTGGGGCTGGGGCAGGGGGGGGTGGGGCATGGGACAGAGCTGTGGCTTGTCTGGAGGGTGTGGGGAAGGGGTGGATGGCTCCTGCCTCTGTGTGCACTCTGGGAGAACATGGGGGGGGAGGGGTGGCCCCAGATCTGCATGGGGCGAGGCAGAGCAGGTTGCAGCTGCAAGCTGGGGCTGGGCTCTTCAAGGTGGGGACCGGGCCAGGCTGCAAAAGGTGGCAGTGCTGGGAGGGGGGCTATAGAAGAGGCTGCAGCTACCCCAAATTTTGCCATAGCTCCCCTGTAGCCAGGGCCTCCACTGCCCACCTCGAGGGTGGCTCCAGCCCAACTGCCCTCGCCATGTACCAGGAAGAGCCTGGCACAGCCCCAGCCCACAGCTGCAGCCCACCCCACCCATGCCCTGCACAGATCTGGGGGCATGCACCCACCCTGTGCCCTCCTGGGGTGTGTGCACTGGTGGAAGCTGATTCCCCCGGCCCCCCCGAAGGTGCTTCAAGTACAAGAAGGTTGAGAACCACTGGTCTAGATGAACAGTGCAATTTGTGTTGTTAGCCAAACATCATGTAACCATAGATACTTCAACACTGATTCTCCCCTTGCACCCCACCCCCTCCATCATTTGATTCCTTGCCAGAATTCTTTCTAAACATTAACAAGAGCCTATGACTCTTAATGCTTATGGACTTAAAAGGAAAATCAGTTCACACACAACTCTGAGAAGACTGGAGCCTGAATCAGTCACTGCACTTTCTTAGCTGACCTTGAAACCAAAGTGCCCAGCCACTTGCTATGTGCCCAAGTAGCATATGGATAGAGATGAAAGACACAAAACATATAAATTACATTAATTTATTCACACCCCTATTTTAAAGTCCAGATTATCCAAAACCATCATTGAGATTTTATGAAAGGGATTCTAGCATAGATTTAAAAGCCTGCCTAAGACTGTTTGCTAGTGAGAATACCGTTTCAGGCACTGGGAAAGATGTGAATCTGAAACTGTGTAGCACAACAAGCATACATCAATTTATGTCAGCTACATTCCTGGTTGACCTTGTGTGTTGGAGGTAAAGATGGTACAGAGATTAAAACAGAAGTTAAAGTGTATAGATAGCAAATCTTATGTTATACAAAAATGTAATGGTGTTATGACTAAAGTGTGCGATTAGATGGTGTGCGAGTACTCTTCTATTTACTTTGTTGCTGCTTCTGTGATTACAATGCTGCATGATTTATGTAATAAATATACCACTTTCTGACACCATACTCTAACAGTAGGTCTTTAACAAGAAACACTGGAATACTGCCAGTCCTAAATGCTCAGGTCCCCCAAAATCACAAGATTAACTTACTATTTATGTGATTTTTAAAAATATAATACGTTTGGGTTCTTTGTCTTTCCCTTCCATTTCTGAGCCTGACATTTTCAAGTTTTTCTCCCTAGTCAAGAGGACTAAAAACTTTCATTTTAAAAAAGCAAACAGATTCTCATTTAATAGAAAGATTTCAGGTGGAACATAAGACTGGGAAGGACTTCTTGAATTCCTATTGCAGACAACATGTCAAATTTCTTTCATGAAGGGATACTGGGGTTTTAAGAAAAAAATTTCAAGTATTTGCTAGACCAGTGACAAATCTGGAAAAAAAGAGGGCATCATTGGCACTGCATTTGCTTTGTGTTTTTCTTGCTGGAACTGTTCATCTTATCCCACATACTATTTAACAGGATTAGTAACTAATTAAAATACTGTAAGTAAATTGACCATTCTTTTTGTTGTGTATATAAAAAAAATCTTGAGTATATTGGTCATTTCATAGATCCATCCAGCAGCTGTGAAATTTCCATTTATTTTTATTTCAAAACATTTTTAAGCATCATCACTTTATTTCAAGATTTTTCAAGATTTTTCAAGTATCATAATCATGATTCAAGCGTCTATATCTTCTATGAATAACTGTGCTCATCAAAAAAAATTTAAAATATATGCAGAGGATTTTTTTCTGTTGAACTCTTGACAGGGCTATCACCTAATCACACATATGGAATAATACTAGGAAAAATAGAACTCCTAATTTGAACTGCAAGAAACTGGTGTTTTAACTTCGTGTGCATTTAGACTTCAAAAAATTAAGCAAGCTCTTCAATGTCAGCTGAAGGACAAGGAAAGCTTTTGACCCACCACATGGACAATGAGTCTCAACCCTGATCTGGGGGACCCTCTCTAGGGAGGGAAAGGTAGGTTAATCACCATGACTCATTTTACAGCTTCACTGATGAGACTGCAAACCACTGTGCCAATTAATGCCAGTTGCCATGGTGATTTTCTGTGCTGGGGACACTTGTCCACTAGAAACTGAACAGAGATCAACTCACTTTATCACTTGTCAGAGAGACAGAAACAATTTATTGCAATATGTCACAATCTCAAAGAAGTATCTAGGCCCTCTTCAAGTAAAGCAAGAATGCCACCATCAAACTTGGTGTTGTTAAACAACTCACTTAGGTCCCCCAGTAGTTGTCAGCTGGTATTGACTTTTGCTCATTCAGACTAGTGATTTAGAGATGAGAGGCTCTATATAATGTTCCTAGTTCTAGGTGCCATCCAATACCTACAAATATAGTTTAAAGATTTGAGGGAAAAGAAAAATATGGAGGAAAAGTAATAAAAAGGAAACCACTGCATGGTTTATAACAGAGAAAAACCTTAAAAAACGTATATAAAAAATATTCAGCCACTGATACTTGAAGACCTCAATCTCACCCAAAACTGCTCAAATTGTTAAAACATCTATTGTGCTATTTCCATTATGCATCAGGTTATTTCTACCAGTGAAATATTGCCTGTTTGGCAAATCTTCTATAATCTTCACACACTACATGAAATAAAAACAAAAACTCCAACCCATTACCTAAACAGAGTTGTTCCTTTGATTTAATGTTTTCTAAGCTGCTTTTAAAAACAGTTAGATAAGCTGCTCTGCAGTTCACATAAAATGTCTCTTCTTCAGATTTCTTTGCTCGAGGACTTTCTGAGGCCATGGCTTTCTGGCTGGGAAGGAATGGATTACTTCCCGTATTGCTCGCCATTCTGTGAAGAATACAAATATATTTAGTGTCTGGTTCTTTGCTTTCACAGTGTTTTAAGTATTTTTCTGATCTGACCTCACAGATCCACTTAACTTTTTTGTGCACGTTTCCCCTGTTTTCTATTCCATCTTTGGAATAATGATATTCATCCATCTTTGTAAAATGCTCTGAGATCCATGAATTACAAATATATAAATGCTAATCATTATTAATTATTATTTACTCTTTATTAATAGAAAATAGGATAATATTATTTAGTGTCCTGAACAGTCGGCCATGATGCATCTCTACCAAGTTCAAACACAATAAACTTTTCAATGATTGCTTTGACATTCAAGATCAGAATTAAGTCTCTAGGGCAGCAATTCTTTAACAGCATGCCATTAAATCCTTTTAAGGGTGGTACAGGGGGACACACAATATTAGGTGTGCAAAGGCCTACATACAATTCACAATATAAACCCTGAAATTTCAAATAGAAATCAATAGTGTCAAAAACATTCTGATCTGTTGTGGTCTTTCAAAGATCTTTGAAACAAGAATTGCTTTATTGTTTTTTGGTAGCGAAGAAAAAAGTAAAAACAGACAGCTGGCATTTTCCAGGGTGCCTTGAGTCTGAAAATGTTGAGAACCAATGCTCTAGGGTGGTGGCTTTGAAGTCAGGGGACCACAAGGGAAAATATGGGGGTGGGTTCCAGGAAGGAATCAACCAGTCATAGAATTATAAAAAATTAGGGTTGGAGGGGACCTCAGGAGGTCACATCTAGTAAGGGAGGACCATCTCCAACTAGATCATCTCAGCCAAGGCTTTGTCTAACTGGGTCTTAAAAAACCTGCAAGGACAGAGATTTCACAACCTCTTTCGGTAACCTGTCCCAGTGTTTTACTACCCTCCTGGTGAGAAAGTTTTTCCTAATATGTAACCTAAACTTCCCTTGTTGCAACAGTCTCCCCCTATTATAAACATTCCCGTGGTACCAGGCGTTGTTCTGAGAAGCTGCACTGCTTTACCCAGCCAGCCATCCTGAGGAGCAGAGCTGCAATATTTTCTTGCATATAACCATAGGCAGATAAATGCACAGGCCAGCTGGGCATGAGCCCAGGGGCCCCTACCAATTTGGAGCCCTGGCCCCGGGATCCTCATCAGCAGGGAAGTGAAAGCCGCAGTTTTAAACTGCGCCCATTTTTGGCGCCAAGTTTAAAACTGTAGCTTTCACATTTGTTTCCCTGGGCGCTGGAAACGTGGGCACAGGGGGCAGTGCTGGGATCAGCCCGGGAGAGCCATGCTGCGCCTGGGGAAGGGGGAGTGGGCTGGGTGCCTCCGTGTCTGGAGGGGACTGGGCCAAGCCAGGCTGGGAGAGCAGTGCCCTACCTGGCAGGGGAGGAGGGGGGCAACTGGGCCAGGCCAGGAGCGCCACATTGCGCCTTTGCGGGCAGCAGTGCTGGGAGGGCCTTGGGGGTCATAGCCCCCCAAGATTCATCTTAGCTCCCCACAGCCACTCCTCCCAGTGCCCACCCACAGAGACATGGTGTGGCGCTCCCAGCCCAGCCTGCAGCAGCTCCCTGCAGGTCAGTGTAACAGGGGCTGGGTGGGGAGTGAGATTGAACCACAGGCAGTTTGCAGCTGGGGGGTGCCTCCATGTGATGATCGAGTGGGGGAGAGGGGAGGCCTTTTGAGGGGAAAGTGTGTGCGTGTGCAGAGAAAGTAAGTAGAGTGCATGTGCCTGTACGTGCAATCAGCTGTAGCTAGGGCAGGGAGCAGGGAGAAGAGATGGGCATGTGCCTGTGGAGAGGGGGCCTCCAAGTTTGTGCTTGCCCAGGGCCCCAGTACACCTTCATTTGCCTCTGCATACAAACATGCACCTTTCTCCCCAGAATCAGTTCCCCAAAATTGGGGTGCATGTATTAAGTGGGGAAGCTGATTTTCTGACTCTGTTGGGAGCACTCTGATTAGACTCCTGCTCCAGATTGCAGCAGCTGTGGGAGTCAAGTGCCTTACTGGCTCATTGTTCTTCAATCTACAGGTGTTAATGATCATGTCTACTAGAAGAAGACCCAATTCTTAAAGAGATCTTTCCAGAACCACCCATCCTAGCCTTTAAACAAGAACCAAACCTCACTAACCCCATCACAAGAAGCAAACTCCCTATGACCCAAACCACAACAAATGGATCCAGACCATGCCAGGATAAGAGATGTAAAACCTGCCAACACATCTCCACCAGTCTCACAATCACTACACCCCACAACAGAACCATGACCATTCCTGGATCTTACACCTGCACCTCCAGAAGCGTAATACATCTCATCCAGTACACCAAATGCCTCGACGGAAAATATGAAGGAGAAAGCAAACAACAACTGTGCACCAGAATGAACGCACACCAAAAATCCATCAAAGACAAAAATATCCAATTACCTGTGGGTGCCCACTTCTCACAAGACCATCACTCCCTCTCTGATCGCTCAGTTCTAATCCTCTAAGGCAAATTACAAAACACCTTTCGTAGACGATCCTATGAACTTCACTTCATAAATTTACCAGATACAAAAAATCATAGACTTAATATAGACATTGGATTTATGACACATTACAACCTGCTTGACATCTGCCTGACACCAGGTACAACCTGGTACAGGCAGGTACAACATTACAACCTGCATGACACCAGGTAACCTGCCTCAAGCTGACCACTAACATTCCTTCACACATTTCCATCCCTTCCCTCCCCACCGCCCATCTCTACCCTTTGTCGTACAAACTTCCACTCATTTACATTTTCACAGACTTCTTGTTATACTTCAGCTTCTTTTCTATCTTGGAGAACACAACAGTGGCATTCTCCCAATGCCTGAAGAAGGGTTTGTGCCCCCAAACTTGCAAATAACTTTCTCCCAACTATTTAGTTGGTCTAATAAAAGATATCACATCTGCCCAAAGAACCTTGCCTGCCTAAGGCCTTAGATCAACACAGCTACAACCAACAACCCTCTCTCCTTTTAACAGTCTTGATGTTCTGTTAATCATGCTAACCTTTTTTAAGGCAATTTTGCTGCAAGCTCCTGGTCTATTGCACAGTCCCTTTATCTCTTTTCAAAATCACAGATCCATCCACAGAGACCAGTCTTCAGCAGCAGCTAGGCATTCAACTTTAGTTATACAGTAAAAAAGAGGTTGTGTCAACTGAAGGGCTCTGTCCCTGCTCTATGAAGCCATAACTCTGGAAAAATAATTTCTTTATTCTGCCTTTCAAAAACTAGGTGTACACTTTGGGGCCTGATATATTTGAGAAAATACAGTAATCATCTTGGGCACAGTGCCATGCTAAAACCACTTCATATTCAGGAAGTATCATTCACAGCCTGGATAACTGACACAGGGTCTCAATAAAGCTGTTATACCACAAAATTTCCCGTTCCACAGTACTGTGTCCTGGAGTTCATGTGAATCATCCTGGAGCTAAGGGGGTCAGCAGGCTTGTAAAGGTTGAGAGCCACTCCTTCTGGGCTTGTCTGAACTATGTTTTTTCCTCAGTTTTACACTGTTACTATTGCCGATTCAACTCACCTTACAGCAGTAAAAATATGGGAGCAACTTGTAGCCTCTGATGTTTTAAAACTTGCTAGTGGCAATATGTGAAACATTCTTTTTCACCAATCTTTAAATAACTCCTTAAAACACAAAGAAATGAACAGCTTTTCCCCTGTAATCAACTAATAAAGTATCTCACTGTGAGATAATTGCTCAGCTATTCTAAAAAAGATGAAAACCCAGATGCTAATGTCCTAGAAGGAAAAAACCCAGAATTAAGGCTGGAGTGTTCAGAACTCATCAGAATTCAATCACAGACTAAGGTCCAAGATTCATACCAAGGGGGACCCTTATAGTCCTAGGCTCTTACTGACCTCAGTGACACTGCACAGGCCTAAAAGCAACATTTTAAAAAGCTCAATGAGGAAAAATACCCACCACCCAATTCTGAGTATTGGTATACAAAGAAAGAATAAAGCAATGTCAGAGTGAAAAAAAGTTAACCGGTTTAAGACAAGATGTCACACACAAGTGTAGAAAATGCTGAGCTGGGTTGGTAAAGAAATAAGCATGGGAACAACGATAACAAGATAAATACTGCAATTAAATGTAGATATAAAATGTTGGCATACTCTAACATCCGGATAGCTTTTTCCAAGCTTCTGGCTGCTAGAAACTTGCTGTATTAGAAGAATTTTTAAAACAAACAACAGCAAGTTGCAAGATTATACGGTAAAGTCACCGCGTGGTTTTTATTCCTGCTTTATCCTTCAACATCTCAAGTCTCAAAATCCAGCAGCTAGAATTTGGTAGGCGATTAATCAGTTCACAGAGAAACTCTAATGTGAAAACATACTTTTTGGGCAACCACTATTTAAGAAGAATAGCACAATTGCTTTTAAATCAATACCCTAATTTTCTCCGGTGCTAAAACTCCGATCCAGAGAAATTGTGTTTTTCAAACTGCAGCTTCCCACCGATAGCGGTTCCACTTTCTCCACATGACGCTCAACCCTTCACACACTTAAAAAACAAAACAAAAGAAATCGGATTCACCCAAAGAGCCTCGTCTGCCTAGAAAACCAGCACGCGCTTCGCTGTACTCACGCGAGCGGCTCCCATCGGGCCCAGAGCGCGGCTCGCGAGTTTACAAGCAAGCTGGAGCATCAACTTTGTGCAAGATTCGGGACCGCGAAGGGCGACAGCGCTGCACGGAGCGGGGCCCCCTGAAACCGGTTTCTTGTTGTAATAACTGAAATGATTCAACACCTCGTGCTCGTAAATGGCCAGCAAACATGACCATCAGCTTCCTCCCTTAGCAAAAGCGATGAAGATTTTTAGATGGGCACTAAATCGTCTGGTCCTGCGGGTCTAAGGGCCGGTTGTCCCCGGTGTTGACTTTGCACATCTACTCGGGGATAATAAATACATCAGCCGCAAGGCCGTGGGTGGGTGGGTAGGCAGGTAGGTTCCTCTGCGGGACTCCTACTCCCCAGGCCTCAATCACTGGCACCTTGTGGAGTTACACCGGCCTAGTGCAGCGGGGAGGCAACGGGAAATCATCGCTTATCAGGGAGCGAGCCCCTATCGGTAGCACCGGGCCGGGCCGCCTGCCCGATAACGGTGGTGACCGCGATGCCGCCCTGCGCAGCTCGCACCTGCGCTCCCGCCGCCGCGGAGGAGGAGGAGAAACGTCCGACCGGCACGGCGGAGCCGGGGTCGGCAGCGCTCGTGTCCAGCCCAGCCGGGGTGGGGGCGGGCTCAGCGGAGCGGAGCGAAGCTGAGGCGGTGGCTCCGGGCCCCGC